AGAGAGAGAGAGAGAGAGAGAGAGAGAGAGAGAGAGAGAGAGAGAGAGAGAGAGAGAGAGGGAGAGAGAGAGAGAGAGAGAGAGAGAGAGAGAGGAGCTTGAGCAGTGGATGAGTACTGGCTGTTCTACGAGCGGCACGGAATTCATATTCACGTCATTCTAAGCTAATTATCTGTTGTGTATCTATTTATAAACTAGACCAAGACAACGAGTGTGCTATGAGCCAATCCCTCGACATGGAAATGCTCACTCACGAATAAGTCGGCTCCGACGTGGACGCTATAGCTGTCCGAGGCGGAGGTAATTGCAGTCGGACGCGTCGACGCGAGTATACCCCACGAGCAAGCTGCTTCTGGGTTACATTGACTACCTCGGCGTCGGCTCGTCGTCCCTACCGACAGAGGAGATAGCTGAGGTCCCAGCACAGATGGGAGATGGCTCACAGACTCGGAGAGGAGACGAGACACGTGTCCACACTCTAGGCACAGCTCTCTCGGTCCACGTTTGCAATCGACTAGATTGCACAAAGCCTCGCCCACACGATCTCTGTGCGCCAATCATTTAGTCCTACAGGAAACTACATAGACAGTTCCTCTTATACCCACACAGTTTAGTCAGAATCTACATGGTCTCTACACACAGCCATACAGCTTTTACTCGTACACGATGTACTTGATAGAGTATGTGCAGTTCATGTATACATAGCCTAATGATTTTTACATTTGTCTTATACATATATAGTCTCTACACACAGCTTATACAGACTATATAGACTCGATACATATACATTGTTCTCTACACTGTGCTTGGAATAGCATCTAGACAAACTGCGCATACTTAGTATAATGGTCTTCACACTCTTTACAAGATGTTTACTAGAGCGCCTACCGACAGTGAATGAACAGCAATCTCAGTCTCCAGAAAGACTATACCGTCTGTACGCATACATGGTCCCTTCACCGACTCGTTTACAATGTTCTAGACATCGACAGTCCACTAGCGGCAGTTTGTACAGTGTAAATCGACCCGTCCATGACGACGAGAACGCCTTCAATGGTTTGTGCGTGTCATCCGTGTCTTCATCCATTTGCAGGGTCCATGCTAGTCTTCTGTATCGTTCCGATTTTGATCGATGTCCCGAAGGACAAGGCCTTCAATGACGTAGAATGACACCTCGATCGTATGACTCGAAACTGGTCTCGAAACTCGCTGCATTGACACCGCCACCTCAGACCAGTTTCTTCGAAACGAACCGTGCGGGGCAAGTACATAAACACACACGCACCCGCCTGGCGGCTGACTGGTACGCACCTGTGTCTGTTGACACAAAAGTCAGGAGTTCAACTGGCGATGGTATGCATAAAAACAGAGCTATCGGTTCACGAAGCTATGAGTGTACGCCCAATATTCCACAGTTAGCTGCCGCACGACAAATGAAGAGAAGGCACGGAGAAAGCACGCCAGCTGCGGTCTAGCTCGTGCGCCAGCTGCATTCTAGCTCCACCTTTCTGGCGATTTTTCCTCACGTCCACCGAAGGAGGGCGATTGCGAGGCAGTCATCCGCAGAAGATATCGCCCTCCTATCACCCACCGACCAAAACCAGGGATAGGGAACCATCCCGACGGATGACACGCATACATACATCCAGAATAAAGAAAAAGAACGAAAAAGTGCGGTGCGGGCTATAACCGCACCGCGCACACGTCTGAGCGACCTACTCTCCGTACCTGCCTGTGTTTGAATACTACGAGCGGGCATAATTTTATTTTAGGGTCGAGGTCCACCGGGTGCGGGTCCGAGAAACGCCTGGTTTTGTTCCTTGGTGGCTCATTTACCTGAAGAACGCTGTGGATGGTCATGGGAACCGTGGAAACAGAAATTTTGTGGGTGGTGAAGATGATCACGCGAAGGAGATGTATCTCGGTGGGATATGCTTACCTGGATTGTCGGAGGGTTGAAGTATGGAGCCAAACGAGCTCACCTGCAAAAGATCCGGAAGATAGATAGGGCGTCTTTCCACAGTGCGCACTCCAGTTGCAAAAGGGGCTCGTTCCACACCACTCGAAACTCAAGGGTTTCTTGCCCAACACCGGTTCCACGGTGCCCTTGAGTTTCTCTAATCACTGGCGGGACGTCATTAGGTTTTGGGGATTAGCAAACGAGCAGAAAACTCTCAAGGGCGGCTCAAGTGCGGCCCAGGCAAAAGAGGTGATTTCTCAAGTGACCTCTCGGGCCACACTTGAGCTGCCCTTGAGAAGTGTGCAAGAGAGCGGCGGAAGGCGGTTTCAGGTACGTGTAGAGCCCCCGGATGTTTTTTTTTTTTCCGTTTATTCTCCTTTTTCTAACGTCATTGTCCTGGTTGAACCTCTCCCGAGCTGTTCCTGCTCATTTCAAGGGCGGACTCGAGGGTTGAGTGGAACAAAACGTGCTCACGCATTTTTTAATCACTTCTGCAACTCGAGTGCGCACTCGAGTTTCAAGTGAAGTGGTGTGGAACGAGGCCCAAAGTGATTGATAAAATACCTGAGGCACTCGAGTTGCAAAAGTGATTAAAAAATACCTGAGTCGCGTTTCGTTCCACTCAACCCTCGAGTCCGCCCTTGAAATGAGCGGGAACAGCTCGCTAGAGGTTCGACCAGGACAATGGTGTTAGAAAAAGGAGAATAAATGTAAAAAGAAAACTATCGGGGGGGTCTACACGTACCTGCAGCGCCGATTTTCAAGTGCAGCTCAAGTGTGCCTAGAGAGGTGACTTGAAAAACGAGTAGGTTTGCCTGGGCCGCACTTGAGCCTGTGACGAACCGATTTCCGCACCGCGCGATTCTCTGCGCGGTAGCGATGAGGGGTCCTAAGCTGGGAAGGATGGGCCAATTACGGGAGATTGGGACGGTTGGGAAATTGCATCGGTGTCCTCGCTTCTTCGTCCTTTTTCGTCGGTTGGGTTCGGTCCCGGGTGAGTCCCGGGGTGTTCGATTGGTTGATTGGCTGGGCGCGTGGACGTGCGCGCGAATAATAAATATTGACATCGCTTCTTTTGTTTCGGCTTTGGGACTTTTGGGCGCGGACATCGTGCGGGAATTTTGCTTTGTTCTTTTTGAATCTTCTTTTTGAACTCTTTTTCAGCTCTTGCCGAGCCCTGACGGCTCTCGGAATTTCGGACTTCCTTCTTGGAGTTTGTGCGTTTTTTTGCTTTTCTGCATTAGATGGAAATTTAGGAATTTTGCAATTACGATTTTCTTTAGCCGCACAACGCTTTTTGTTTACGCGCTTCTTCGTGCGGCTGCAACGGAACTCTGATTAGTTTGCGGCTTTAATCGTGTGTGTAGCTGTAATTTTGGGTGGGTGCCATTATAACTATATCCTTTCTTCTTGTGCTTCGTGTTTCCCGCTCTCGCTTTCTTTCGCTGAGTCTAGCCAGCCCACAGATTGCATGCTCGGAGCGATGCGTGGAGAGAGGCTACGTCCCCAACGCCGCAGCCCGGCCATGCAGAACGCAGGCGCTCCCTCTCCAATCTTCTTGCTGAATCCTTGTAATTTCGTGTTTTTCGTGCATGCATGCACGCTATAAATTTCGGCTGTGCGATTAGTTAGCTCTCTTAACCAGCTAATGAAAGCTCGGGGTAGCGCGATCAGTGAGGGTCGGCTCACAAGCGAAGTAAGAGGTGAGTGAAGTGGGAGTCGGGCGACCTGACGAGCTGGTGCCGAACGCGCGGGGTTGACGCGGGCCACGACGGACTGTGGGCACGGGCAAATCTGCCGGGTGCGGGAGGACTAAGCGGGGTGACGACTTCGTGGGGTGGTGCGCGACGACGGACTGTCCACATCGGAGAGAGAGAGAGAAAGAGGAAGAGGGAGTTGAAGATTGATGGACGTGGATTTGCAGTTTCTTTGTCTTTTCTCCCTCATTGCCTTTGTATATAAATTTTGATCTCGATCTCGGGCGGTGCGCCCGTTCTTCCTTTGTTTTTTGGGGATCCCGACTTGGTTTCGGCCCACACTTGTTTTTGCGATTTCAATCTCAGATACTGCATGTTCTACTGATAGAATGGATGTTATGTCTGTTTGCTTCTCCCTGTGCCTGAACTTTGTTGTTGCTTGTCGTTTTGATACACTCATGAGCATAGTAGGAAAGATCGCGTAACCCGAACTAATGTTGTCTGTCCTTTTTGATTTACCGTTGTACTGCAAATGCGTAGTAGCACCTTGCATATTCATAAATGATTGCGTGCGACTCACGGGATGATTAGACGATCGGGTAGTTGTTTGCCCAGAAACCAGCAAACACCTCGCGGGGATGCGCGTAAGTGCGATCTGATCTGCGCACTTACACGTGTCCACACACGTCGATTCTCAACCACCCACGCATGAAAGGGGCTAACGGTTGCGGGGATATTGATTGATTGGACGTGCTCGGTGACCATTCTGCGTCTGCAACGAAGCGATCATCCCGTGTGAACACGTGTAAGTGTGATCCAATTCGCGTCGTTTACACATACTCATACGCGGTAATCGCAATCGTCGAATATCGGAACCGGCACGTAATTTATGAACGCCGAAGCTCGGACATTCCCTAGCCGGGCAACCACGCGCTAAGGAATTCCGCGGCTTCGCAATGACAAAATGACACACTCCAGGGACTCAGATTCGTCGTGGGATCCGGAGTACTTCACCCCTTGGATAGAAGAGTGCCTCTGACAGAGGTTCCCGTGTCTAACTGAGAATCGACTGTGTCCCAGGGAGTTCCATTGTGCGGCTTGTGCCACGACCAGCGATCCACGGTGCCCTAATTTCCCCACTTTTAACCACACGCACTACTTTATTTCCCCCGGTTTTGTCGTTATCTCCATTAACTTCCCTCCCTTCCGTCTTCTTCTCCCATATCATCAAGTGACATCAACTCACGGTCGTCCCGTGGAAAGCCATAGCCCCATACTGGCCCCACACGCCCTGCGGAAATTGCCGGCGACGCGGCAACCAGAGAGCCCCGGAAACCCGAGGGCTTAACCCGAACGTGCGAGGACCGACGCCACGTGGCGACATCCGACAGCCTAACTCGTCAGAATCCCACCCGCCCCTGATGGACCTTTCGTCGAACGCCGTCATCAAAACAGACGATTCGGACGGCCTTGAACGATCCGCGCATGCCATCTGCCTTACTACCGGAAGCGGTCCGTCCTCTCAACCAAATTGCACTCGTGCCCCCGAAAAACCCTGCCACAGGAGATCTCAGTTCTGACCTGGGACTCCACCCCCACTTTCCCAAAAATCATTGGCACACCCTTTTTCGCACTTCCAGGCCCACATCATACTCCGATCAAGAAGTCGTGCTGGGCGTGAGGTTGGTATCGGAGCCCGACATGTGGCCGGGTTATAGGACTGACAGCACGATAATTAAGCAATCTAGCTAACCGAGGGCGACCTTGACCACGGAACGCGCATAGACGCGACCCCGTCGTCACTAGAAGCAGATCGGCTAACCGACGGGCCGTCAACATGAATGCTAATCAGCAGAACCCCCTACAGAACCCGAATCCCCAGCAAAAGCCTAATCAACCAGTACCACGTGCACGAGCTCCTATGACGCCACTATATCTCTATCTGTTTGATCCTGCGCATCATCTTGCCGGAGCATGGCTAGCTACGCTCCGAGCACAGCAGTATGATGATGACAACGAAGCTCAGGTGAACATCCCCGCTCGATTGGGAGGGGACACACATTATTGGTTTAGTACCTATGTATGGGTGGATCTTCCAACTTTCGAGCGAGACTTTATTAATCGGTTTGACTATGTCCATCCAAAACAAGCACTCTTCATGATCAAGGACCGAGTTCAAAAACCTCTCGAGTCCATTGCAGAATATCGAAACTGGTTCTACTGAGTGTTTGTGAAAACGGAGTGGGGTGAGCAAGTAGGGAGAGATTTGTTTATCGATGGACTTCGCAGCCAAACGATAAGGGTGAAACTGCGAAAACAGTTCTCCCCCATCAATCACACGCTGCAACAGATTATGGCAGCTGCAGAGGAAATGGAACGGAAGTTCGCGGCGAGTTTCCTAGAAGGAGAAGACTACCCTAAGGAAGGAGACTCGTCCGAACTTGCGAGGGCAAAAGCTGAGTTGGCAGCGTTGCAAAATAAGTTCAAAAACATGGGGTTCGTATCAGGCCCTGTTACCTACCTGGAACAGATTCTCCTAAACGACCAGCCCCGAGTGTGATCACAAGCGTCCCTGTCCCTGTGATGCCAGCACCTGTAATGACGACACCCCCGCCCCCGATTGAGAACCCTGCAAGGTCGAATTAATCGACTGCCATTTTTTAAATGACCAAAACGCCAATTAGCTTAATCCAGGAAAGCAAAAAGGAACAACGAGAGCATAATGCT